TAAACCCTGACATGACTCAGCATTTCATCACTTCCTGTGTCTGGAGGTCAATGGTTTCTGAATGTGTTTTTGGTTGTTAGCCTGAAATCAGGTTTGTAGTTTAACACAAGCTGACATAAAATATATTAGTAAATACCTCTAAATGTCATCACGCCCAACATTAGCCTCCTTTAGCTTAGCGGTGGTGACGTGAAGTCATGTGACCATGCTGTAGTTCCTTTATAGCCCAACATTAGCCACCTTTAGCTTAGCGGTGGTGACGTGAAGTCATGTGACCGTGCTGTAGTTCCTTTATAGCCCAACATTAGCCTCCTTTAGCTTAGCGGTGGTGACGTGAAGTCATGTGACCGTGCTGTAGTTCCTTTATAGCCCAACATTAGCCGCCTTTAGCTTAGCGGTGGTGACGTGAAGTCATGTGACCGTGCTATAGTTCCTTTATAGCCCAACATTAGCCACCTTTAGCTTAGCGGTGGTCACGTGAAGTCATTTGACCGTGCTGTAGTTCCTTTATAGCCCAACATTAGCTACCTTTAGCTTAGCGGTGGTGACGTGAAGTCATGTGACCGTGCTGTAGTTCCTTTATAGCCCAACATTAGCTACCTTTAGCTTAGCGGTGGTGACGTGAAGTCATGTGACCGTGCTGTAGTTCCTTTATAGCCCAACATTAGCCTCCTTTAGCTTAGCGGTGGTGACGTGAAGTCATGTGACCGTGCTGTAGTTCCTTTATAGCCCAACATTAGCCTCCTTTAGCTTAGCGGTGGTGACGTGAAGTCATGTGACCGTGCTGTAGTTCCTTCATAGCCCAACATTAGCTTTTTACTTCAAATAATCCAAAATCACATGGAGAAATCTCATTGGAGCAGGGAGATGCTGCCTTCAGGGACACTGCACCACTTTCTAACCTTTCTGGTCTTAATCTTTTATGTTTAGGTACAACTAAAGAGCGATACCAGCAGATCTTTTGCCCTGAAAGTGTTGAAGAAGCGTCACATCATGGACACCAGCCAACAGGGCCACATCCTGTCTGAGCGCCGCATCATGGTGGAGGCTCACAGTCCCTTCATCATCAGGTCAAACTACTGATGCTGAGGATTTACTCAGCTGTAATTAAAGAAGCACTTTAGACTTTCTAAGTGGTGGCAAGAGGTGGCTTTCTACTGGATTGTCTGTAAGGGATATCAAAACGGATGCATAATATCTAGTTTCTTTTGGTCCCTGCTGATGGTGACTATCGTAACCAATTATAATCTGCAAAAAAAAAGTGTGACAATTTAGTCCTGAGATTTAGGCAAATGTCTGCATTTTTGAATATTTTAAATCATATAGATTTACCTTATACTTACAGAAAGCTTATGAGGTATGTTTTTTCAAAATAAAAGCCCCATAGGTTTTACTTAATACCTACAGGAAGCTCAGGAATGTTCATGTTTTTCAAAATAAAAGCTCCATTGAGTAACTGCTTTCAGGACGCTGGATGGAACAATATTGCAAGTGCTGTCAATGCCCACTGAACACTGGGAATGTTAGCAGTAGGAGAAAAAACAGAATTTTGCCTTTTCAGACTTTCACATGGAAACTATTCCTTTAAATTAAACTTTGAACCCTCTTCCTGCAGGTTGTATCGGACTTTCAGAGACTCCAAATATCTGTACATGCTGCTGGAGGCGTGCCTGGGAGGAGAGCTGTGGACGCTGCTCAGAGACAGGTGAGTGATTTACACTTTGTGCGTGTTCAGGTCCATGATTTCCTCAGCGTCAGCTCTGAATGTGTTTCAGAGGATCTTTTGATGACGGCATGACTCGGTTCTACACCGGCTGCGTGGTCGAGGCTCTGGCCTTCCTGCACTGCAGAGGAATCATCTACAGAGACCTGAAGCCTGAGAACATCATCCTGGACCAGCGGGGATACGCCAAGCTGGTCTGCACACGTCTCATTCACCTTCTCTAGTTTTACAGCATCCTCTGTTAGTGACTGCAGGAGGACATATAACAGTAACATCTGTACATTTTTAGAATTTCAAAAAACGTCAGCATTTAGGGGGGAAAAGTCAGAATATAGCTTTTCTAAAAAAAAGTCAGAATTTTGAGATTTGAAGAAACTAATGAAAAAAATTGTGATTTTCAGCAAGATCAGAACTTTGAGAAAAAAGTCAGAATTTTTAGAAAAGTCAGAATCTTGAGATTTTTAGGAAAAAAACATAATTTTGGGAAAAAATTGAATCTTGAGATTTTCTGAAAAAAGTAAGAATATTTCGATTTTGAGAAAAAAGTCAGAATTTTAAGAATAAAGCAGTATTGTCAACAGTGCGTTTTATCAGAGATGATTCTCAGCTGAGGTGATGGGATGGTTTTACAGCATCCTCTGTAAGTGACTGCAGGAGGACATGTGACAGCGTATAAAATCTATAAATGTTTTGATTTTCAGGAAAAGTAAAAATGTAGGGAGGAAAAGTCAGAATTTATAGATTTTCTAAAAAAGTCAGAATTTATAGATTTTCTAAAAAAAAAGGCAGAATCTTGAGATTTTGAGAAAAAGTCAGAATTTTAAGAAAAGTCAGAATTTTAAGAAAAGGCAGAATCTTGATATTTCATGATACATTTTTCAACATTTTGAGAAAAGTCAGAATTTTTAGATTTTCTGAATTCTATAATTTTGAGATTGTGAGAAAAAATTATGATTTCGAGAAAAAATTATAATCTTTAGATTTTTTCAAAAAATCCAACAGATTTTTTAAGAATTGTCATATTTTCAGTGTCTATTTTTGAGAAAAAAGTCCCCCAGAAATAGCCTTATCTGAACAAACTCATCTCATATTGGTAATTTAAATGGTTAGTTTGTCAACTATAAAGTGTCAGTACTTTAGTACTAGTTTATTTGGCGAGTAATATTTGATAAAGCAGGCTCTAACTGGAAGTACAATACGGTGAAAAATCCCAACAATGCAAAAACTGAAAGTATTCTCAATGTGTGTTTTCAAAATTAGAATCTTGAGATTTTGCGAAAAAGTCAGAATTTTGAGATTTTCTGAAAAATGTCAGAATTTTGAGATTTTCTGAGAAAAAAATCAGAATCTTTTGAATTTGAGAAATAATCAACATTTTGAGTAAAGGTTCAAAAACCTGGCTCTAAGAGGAAGTACCAACACTTAATAAGGCCATGTGTCAGTGCCCTGGTGCAGGTGAAGCAGACGGTGAAAAATCCCAACAATGCTAAAATGAAAGTATTCTCAATATGCGTTTCAGGTGGACTTTGGCTTTGCTAAGAAAGTGGGTCTGGGTAAGAAGACGTGGACATTTTGTGGGACTCCAGAGTACGTGGCCCCTGAGATCATCCTGAATAAGGGCCACGACAGCTCTGCAGACTGCTGGTCTCTGGGAATACTGGTCTTTGAGCTGCTCAGTGGCAGGTAGGCTGGAAATATTTCAGTTTCACACCGTCATTCACATTAATTCCCAATTCTAGTTTGCTGTAAGCTATTAAAGGTTGGGTTGCACATGTTGATGGTTTTCTACAGAACTGCTCCCAAACAGCCTCACACGGGGCACCACATTCCCACTTTGGGTCTTTTATTTTGAAATACAAGCCTAATCCTGAGCTTTCTGTTACATTACAGTTACTTGCTAGGCCTTTTATTTTGAAATACATGCTTCCTTTAAGAATACAGTTACATTATGAGGCTTTTATTTTG